AAAAAACACCGGGAATTTCCCTTCCCCTTCCCATCACGAACCCTACGCATAGCGCTGAATCCCGAGTTTGGAAAGGCTGACTTGCACCCGAAGCTCAATCCCACGCCAAGACTTTAGAACGAGGCAAAATTTTTCAAAAATCTTCAGTCACAGATACAATGTAATTCTGCATTCTGCTCGGAAAGTTTGCCTTACAAGATCCCAAGCGCCAGACAAATATTTCAGGCTTCATTCATGCTACTCAGAGGTAACGCTTAGCAGGAGTTTGTCAGCACATAAAATCTTTCTGGCAAAAAGCAAAAGACAATGGGTGACTCTCAAAGGTTAGCATTTCCTTTGTGGGACAGCATTGCAATGGCAGATTTTAGATGGGTTTGGTTAGTTGTACCCGACCATTTTTGATATGCAAAACAAGGGACAGCTGCTCCTGTCATACCACCTTCTACCGTGTCATCGAGCCTGTCGTATGAAGATGTGCAACGGGATGGCCAGTTTGGTGAGCAACTGGGAAGAGACTCAAAGAGATATTGGGCTGAACTCCCAGCCAAAGCATGAGGGATCTTTGATCTCACCTCAAACGGGTCAGCACAGAAGCTGCCACTCATCCTGCATTCCTCCTGCCCACGCGTCCACCGTGCCCCGGGCTGCCAGCGGCAGAGGGCTGGGAGCAGCCCTGGGCAGAGCTCGGCTCCTTCTAGGTCCACTGTAAGGACACTTGAGAATGCCTCACCCACCAGAGGGGTCTTGGGGCAGGTCAGGGCTGAGCCATTCAAAATAATGGAGCAACACTCAAAATGACCAGGTAAGGGCTGCTCCAGCACAGGAGAAGGGTCTAATCTTGCCTCCAGTTTCACTGAAGCCGGTCCTCTCACGCTGGGCACCCTGCAGCCTTGGTCACAGCCTCTGCTGCCTTCCCCACTGCTAGCACAGATGCCAAACAAATGAGTCCTCCCAGCCCCACGCAGGGCTTGGTGGTTTGTTTTTTTTTTCCTCCTGAGTTTCTACCAGCCTCTGCTGAAGCATGTGGCAGCATGTTGTGTTACTGAACAGACGGGAAACGAGCTGTCTTTTTCCATGCTCCTGGCTGAGAAACTCTGCAGCTTTTGAGCTAGATAGGTGATAATCTGGGGATAGCTCATTAGGCAGGACTTGTAATCAGATGTTACCTGTTTGCAACTAATCAGCCAAAGTGTTCGCTCTGACCTGATATATAAAGCATCAATCCTGACCCTTCAGGCAGCCAAGTAGCACCAACTTCTTTATTGTTACATTTTCTAGAAATCATTCTTTTTATTTTTAGTTCTCTCTGCTTATATTTACATCTATATGCATCTCTTTTGCAAATCAAATGAAGAAACCCTTTGGGTGATAAACTGCAACTCATAAAGCGACATTCTGCTGTCTTGAGAGACAGCACCTCTTTCAGAACAGTCTGCAGAGCACACACTTTGGACAATAACAGTATACACACAGGAATTTTCATACCAGGAGCTATAGGATTTACTTTATTTCGGTGCCAAATTAACATCAGTACTTTATCATCACGATTGTGTGTCATGATACCTGCAATCACACCAGGTAGGCTTCGTAAGCCAGGTCTCCTGCAGTCCTTTGTTCCTAGCTGGAAAAAATCATAGTCATGAAAACAAAGGGGAACCATTTTCTCTCCTGGGAACAGATCAGTAAGTTCCCATAAGGCAAAACAAAATTATGCAACAAAGCAAGACAGGGTGCTGGGCATGTGGAGTCTTGCTGCCTGCTCTCGGCACTCGCATTCCAGCACGCAGCCGCGCAGGAGAGCAGCACAACATGGGGGAAGGCTCAAGAGCAGCACGGGCAAAGCTCTCCAGCTCTGCTGCAGGTGATCAGCCCTCCCCACCCTGTCCCCACAGCAGCTCCTCTGCTTCTGGAAAGCTGCTTGTGGCCCACAGGGAACCCCTGCCCTCCACAGACACTAGCCAAGATGATTCAGGAACTCTCACTGGGGGAAAAAGCCATTGCTTTACATGGGGTACATAACAGAGCATGGGGAAACAGAGCCTGCAACAGAACTGGTTTATAAATACCACAGTGACTGGGGCTGCCAAAGGGCTTCCCAGCAGGTCTAAGAGACAAACCCCAGGGGACAAATCCAGTATAGCTTTTTTGGATAAGCCAGATCTCAAGCCACCCTGCTGCAGACAAATGATCTTGAAGTCAGAGGCTGAGGCATTTACAACAGGAAGGATTGAGTTTATTAATTATATTGCCTTCTTCTAGGCACAAAGATAGACAAATAAGATTCCTCTATATCATTAGACAAAGATGTACCTGTTCATTGAAAGGGCAGTCTTCAATATTCTGGCAAGTCCTCTGGTCCTTCCTGTCTCCATGCTTCTGCTGTACTGCTCCTACCCTCTTCTTGCCAGGAGAAGTGAAACCATCATTGCCTGAGTATCTCCACATACAGAAGTGCAAAGTTACACTACTGTGAATCTGTATGTGTATATGCACATGCAATACTTCTGGTGGGTTACTTACAGATGGGAGTAGATTCAGAGCAAGCTACTCTTACAGCAGAGCATAAGCTACTGAACTGGCCCATAGCATTAACCTTTAGACTGATTGTTTCTGTGTGAGAAACTTTTCATAGAAATGGAAAAACAAACAAACAAAAAAAAAACACAACATAAAAATGAACAGCTAACATCCCTCTGGGCCTTAGAATTACCATAGTAGTGAGCATATCAGTTTCCTGTTAATGCTGCTCCAATCCTCTTAAAAGAACAAACCAACCTGGATCCCAGCCTGGCTCAGATGCTTTTATAGCTACAGGTCATTTCTTTCCAGCTGACACAGATAACGGTTGGACACAGAACACTTGGTATGAGATGGATAAAAGCTGGTGGCCCCAGCAGTGGTGGGTTGTCTGTCTGTGGGGAGGGTGGGCTGATTTTTGGCTGTCTGCTGCCAGGCTGTGGTGAGCAGCTACAGGACAGCAAGAAACTGGGGCAGAGGTGGGTGGTGTATCTGTAGTGGAAAGGGTCAGTAATTGTTGCTAGTAAGAGTAAGCACAAGTATTTCCCTAGCTAAAGGCATAAAAAGGGGACAAAGAAAAACTCAAGGGCTTAAAAAACACAGCTACAAAATGTCACTGCTATTTTTAGCTAAGAGTTTTAAGACTTAATTGTGAAAATGAAATGCATATGTTTTTATCTACATGCATTTACTACTTCTTTCCATTGTTTTGTTTAAAACCTATAGTAAGTATTCAAGGAGCTTTATGTATTAGCAGGTGTTAGTTGCATATGTTTATTTTTTCAGGCTTTGCTCCCTCTGGTTGGTTGTTTTTGTGCTCTGTCTCTCTGGAGCATTGAGTGCCTCCATAAACAGGTAACACATGCTGTGAACCATGTGAGGAACTGCTAAGGAAGTTCACTCACAATCCCTTTTTGTTTCTAGAAAAGCTACAGTAAAGTGAGTGTGGTAGTACCTTGTGTGTAAAGGGAACCTTAGCTCCTCAGTTCCTTGATGTGGAGGAGTTTATCTGCAGAAGGACCCTGAGCCTCGGGAGCCTGCTCCTAAATAGGGCACAGCTCAGGTCTGAAGGTCTCAGTGACTCAAGGGTGGGAATCTCCTAATGGTCTTAGTTATTTTTATACGTGCTTAATACCACATGTTATGCTGCCCTACCACAGAAAAGCAACTCTGCAGTCACCAGGGGAGCACACAAAACTGTGGTGGTGAAAACTGAAGAAGAGAGAGGGAGAAATAAAGGAAGAACAGAAAGAAGGTGGAATAGCAAGGCAAAATACTAACATCAAACAAGGGCATGAGACAGTGAGAAAGAAACAGCAACTAAAGGTGCTGAAAGGACAATAGAAGTGAAGGACTTCAGCAGGTTTTTCTTTTGTCCCTCCTTTTTTTAATTTTGCTTTGTAGAGCAAAATGGGACAGTACTTCACCAATGCTGAAGGGGAGCAAACAGAGATTGATGTGGCAGAATTGCAGGAATGGTATAAGAAATTCGTGGTGGAATGTCCCAGTGGGACACTCTTCATGCATGAATTCAAGAGGTTCTTTGGGGTCCAAGATAACTGTGAAGCAGCAGAGTACATCGAAAACATGTTCAGAGCTTTCGATAAGAATGGGGTAAGTGGTGAGGAGTTTTTATGATCACTTGTGTAATATCTTGTGTGTCTTCTCTAATTTGGAGGTGTTTTGGTGCAGTTCCCACCCTTGTTGCTGTGTTTCATGGACTAAAGCACGGGTGATGGACCTGCTCGGGCAGGAGAAGGAGTGCATGCTGCACTACTGTGTGTGGGCTGGTATGGCTTTATCTTCTCAGAAATCTGTACAAAGGACAGAATATCCCCTTAAGGGGCTAAAGATGGATTAAAAGTTTGAAATTCATGCAGTCACATTTTGAGACAGTATTGTTGAAAAATTCTCCAAGAGCCAAGGTTGCTACGTGGAACAGAGATGTTTATCTGTTATGAAAGAGGAGGGATTATAGTGGAGGGAAGTCTTCCTCAGGCTGGCTAAACCTTGGAGGAAGTGTATGTATACAGTCTGACCAGGTGGCATGTAACAAAATATTGGTTTTAAGTGCTCAAAAGCAAAGGAATGCTGAACAATTCAGAAATTCTGGTTTTGATTCCCTTCACTGTATTTGTCACCAGGCACCTGGGAAAAGTGGGCTTTCTGGTTTAGTAGCAGCTCATGCATACCCACGTGCTGGTGCAAAAGGTATCCTAATACTGGCCTGTGATTTCTTTTTTTACTTAAAAGAAATGTAATATGGTTGTCTTCCTTATCTTGAAATGAAGAAGCAATGGTTGCCAAAGGGTTCAATTATTTTCCTGAATCTCTTTATCATATTCAAAGTATGGGGTTGTTTGTTGCTATGTATGTATATAAGAAAATGGGAGACAAATCTGTCATCTCTAGATATACCTGTTGCCATTAAGCTTCCTTTGAAACCAGTGGCAAAATGACACTGATGTGGCAGCAAAAGTCAGTTTGTCAGAAAGGATAAAAAACACCATGGACAATGTGGGCAGGTCAGACCTGTCTCAAATTTGAAGTTGGCAAAACCTATATTAATGCAAGAACCTGAAGGTCCAGGTCCAAATCCTGTTATGGAAGCTCTGGAGAAAGGGTTGCAGAGCAGGTGGTGTGTGTAAAAGCTAAAGTCCCATTCCTCGTTTACAGTTTTCCTAATAAGACTGAAAATCTGTTTTTAAGGGATGCTGGTACTTACCTATAAACCCATAGAACACTAAATTAAGCCTGGGTTCATGTTTTTGCTTAAATATGCCCATGGTACATGATCAGCTGAGCAGGACCTAACAATCTAAAGGGTTGCTAGTAGCATGCTAGGAAAGCAAACAGCTCCTCAGCTGCCTGCCGTGCTCGCTGCCCTCCAGCAGCTCTGCTCGGGGCTGGGGAGATGCTCAGCCCGGACCCCCGGGGCTGGTGACTGGGTCGGGAGGGCTGTAAGGTGACACGGGGCTGGTGGTGACCCGCGGGAGGGCCATCTGCTGGAGGCTGCCGAGGCAGCCCCACCTCCCTGCACTGAAGCTTTTAGGAGTGTGAACATCTGACCTAACTCCATCATTGCCGGTGTTCTTGCTGCCTCCTCCTGGATGGTGACATTTTCATTGTCATAGTCTTCCTCAGATGGATCAAGATCAAGCAAGGGGCCAAGGGGGAAGAAAGCAGTAATGGCTGGTGATGGTCTAGGTGGTGAAGGTGTTGAGGTCTTTGACAATGGCAATCCCTTCCCAAATAGCCAACACCTCCTGCACTGATTCTCATCTGCCTCCCTGTCCCTGATGTAAGCTGTGGGTGTTTAACTGGCTCACTGCTGGAGTCCTGGTGGCTTTAACTTCTCAGAAGATGTCCCTCCTTATTGCAGTGCAGGACAATTGCTTTGCTTTCTACTGTCACACTCCTGGTGATCTCATCCTGATGCAGAGGGGTCAGACTGAGATTGCTGTTGGTGTTGAACTGGCACAAATCTTCTGTAAAGTGCCTCATAAATAGCTGTCCCCTGGGTTATCTTTTTGGCAGTTTTTAGCCAGGTTTTGTAAGCAGTTCTCTATCGGTTGTGTCCACTTAAGGATCACTCAGCTGCTGCTTTAATTTCTACAGGATAATACCATTGATTTTCTGGAATATGTAGCTGCCTTGAATCTTGTTTTACGAGGAAAACTGGAACACAAGCTGAGGTGGACATTCAAAGTATATGACAAGGATGGGAATGGCTGCATAGATAAACCTGAGCTGCTGGAAATTGTTGAGGTAAGTAGGCATTGCCTCATCACTTCTTTAAGCAATTGCTGTTCTTTGGCAATGTATTGATGTATGTGGGCTTTGTGATAATCAGGTTTCAAGACAGCTGTGGATAGTGATGAAGTGGAAATGCCTGACCTTGGTGAAAGGCTGTGTGCTCAGTGCTCTGATGGAGCCCAGTGGGGTGGCTGAGGGGTCAGACCCACTGTAGGTCCCTGGCCCCTGCTGCTGAAGCTGTCCAGAAATGCAGCATCTGGGTGCTGTTGTGGAGTTCCTGTCTCTGCTCTGCCTGTCCTTTCAACCTTTTCACACCCAGATTGCAGTGGCCAGTGGAAGAGGGCTTCACTTCAGGCCCCTTGCAGGAGCCAGGCCTCCTGCCTGAGTGGCTGGTGAGAATACACTGAGAGGCACAAATTAGTACAGAAACCCCTTTTGTAATTATTCCTTTCTGGGTTTAATTTAATTTAGCTTTAATCAGTGACTATGTGGAGGTGTGAGAGGAGCAGTGGGCTTAGCAGACAGTTGCAGAGGGTACCCGGGTTCTTGCTTTAGGTAAATAACTTGGTGACTGTGCTGGAGTCACCCCTGCACCCCAGGAGCTGTTACCCTTGCACAGCAGTACTTGTGAAGCTCCACTAATGGCCATCAAACGTTTTAGCACCTTGGGTGAAATGCAATGTCAAGAACAGAGCAGAAACAATCTGTGTGAAGTAGGTCATTTTGGCTGGAAAGTGTGACCAGGTTGTTACCTGCAGCACCAGGTGTGGGAGTATCTGGGGAGCTTGTCTAAAACAGGCTCAATTATAGTTTTGAGGTCAGTCAGGAATTGGCCAGAGTTGTTTTAGGCCCTTACTCTAATCCCTTCTTTGGGAAGACTTCAGACAAACCCCTTCAGTGTAAAGTCAATAATGAACAAGTGATGATCATGGGAGGAGAAGATAAAATCTGCCCCTCTGCAGTGACAAAGTGGAACAGAAACCACGGGTCAAAATATGTGCTAATACAGGTTTGATCTTGCAGCTTGGGTGCAAGTTCCCTGGGAGAGGGATGTGCCTGGCCTCAGATGTGAGGAAAAAATCATCCTCAAAAGTCAGATTTTTCCCATCTGTGAAACTCTTGCCTTGTTCTTTGCAAAGGAACCCTGA